AATATGCGAAGACTAAATTGCTTGCTATTGCAAGCATATAACAACGATAATATAAGCAATAGGTGAACTTAATGCATGCAGCAAAATTGTTTGATTCAAACGGATTAGCAAAAAGACATAAAAATTTTTGAATAGAACTGAACAAAGTGGGAAAGTTAAGATACTAACCTTGCAACGCGGACAGTCCAATAGTTGAGGTCTGTCCGAGAGATATTTTTTGGCGTTGATCAACATGCTCGGCGTATGACTGGCCGATCGATGAATCGGAATCGGCACGGATCTAGATCTCTCCAAGGTGGCCATTTCAGGGATGCAGCGAGAAGTTTGGTGGATCAGTGAGGATAACTGAGGATAACTTCCTGTATGAGTCCAGGATAAATCCGAGAAACTCGACGGTTTCAAGGGATGCGGCAAAGCACGGTCGATCCGAGGACGACGAGTAAAAGGCAACTTCTCGTCGCCTTCGTTCTCGTCGGGAATTTTAATGAAACAGCCGAAATGAAGAACTGACAGCGATGTCAAAATAATATGAGGATAGCGATATTCTCGAAGAATGAATGCAATGAATTGTAGAGAGAAGTTTAAATTAATGTGCGATGAGTGGGGATATTATGTGTCAAATGAATAGAAAGATATGAAATGTGAATCTCGATTCGAGAACAATACAGATGAGACGTTGCTGTCGTTCTATCAACCTACACTTACCAATATCTAGTAACAGTTCGACTAGCACCTCAACTTAATTCCTTTCAGCTGTACTTTTATACGCTCTCAACAAGATGCCAGCTAGTATTTATTCACATAAATATAACTGTTAGTTGCGAGACTGTAAATGAACCGAACCGTAACTCTTACGGTTTATTTACTTGCATAACTCCACTACATAATTTCAGGCATAGTTTCTTGAAGAACATCTCTTAAGCACTTCAGCTGGAGTACCTCGAACTGCAAATTACAAGCGTCATCCCTCATCTCTCCATTTTTTTATCGTCTTATCCAAATCCCTACACCTTGCGTCATTACCACTATCCACGTAGTCAATTTCAACTTACCAGCACCAACTTTTTTGTTCAAATTCCGCAATTCATCAACTTATTCATCTGATCTAAAAGATATGATTGTCGAACAAGAAAAAAGAATTGAATAAAATATATTTATTATAGAAAAACACAATAAGATGATGCAAATAATAATTAGTTGAGGGATTGGTTGATTGGAGGTCGAAAGCTAACAGCCTTTGCTTAGGCTTGAAATCTGTCACACTTGGAAAAGCGGACTGATGGGAGGTCTCCGAGGGGATGGGGTGCCCACAGCCTTTGCTTGGGCTTGATATTTTTCTCCGGATTGATTACAGTATGCGAAGTCTGGTTGATTATTAAGGTTACAATATGCAACGTTTGGAAAGGATGTGCCGCTTATTGTGTCGAGTACGCACATAAAGTCGGCACAACAAAGACACAATTGTGGGATAAGCAAATTTTATGATGGGGATAATAAATGGGAAACAATAGTTTATAGAGAGGTCGATTGTTTTTTATATAAGTGAGATAAACAATTAATGAC